GCTCAGCCATGGCTGCCTGTGGCCACAGCCCAGCATCCCCCCTGCCCTCGGGGTCTCTCTCCCCCACCCCAGCACCGTGAGGCACATCCAGGCCCAAAGGCGCTGCCGGGAGGCTGTGGGGCCGGGGACTGGGCCAGGGGGCTGCGGGCGGTGCAGCACCTGCTGTGGGGACACAGATGGCCAGGGATGGCAGGAGGAAGGGGACAGGCACAGAGCAGCAGGGCCATGCGCTGCCAGCTCGGGGAGGGGTGGCCAGCAGGGCAGGCAGAGCTGATGGAGGTGGGGGCTGTGCCCTGCTGGCACCCCTCGCCCAAGTGAGAGGCTGGGTCCCCCTGCAAGGAGCCGCACCAGAGTAAGGCTGGCCCTGGCCCCTCCTCCCTGGCACCCCCAGGACATAGGATCAATGCTTTGCTTTTTTCCTTAGAAAAGGACAAACTCACATGGTTAAATTGCAGCCCATTACTAGGGCAGTGAAGACTGTACTTTGAATTAGCTTGTCTTTCTCTTGGGGTGCTCAGTGTTGCTCGTTTGGACACCTCCAGTAGGCAGGCAATCTCCCTCCATCACCTAATCTACTAAGCCTCAGGAAAGTAACAACAATTCACAGATAAACAGATCAAAAGGCAATCCCTCACGGCCATTTGCAGGACAGCAATGTTAAAGTTGTGAGGATGACAATAATTTCATGAAGACAAGTAAAACCAAGAACAATTATTTGTCTGAGGCAAAAATGGGGAGAAAAGGAAAAAGACAAAGCGATAAAACACAAGTCACTCCCATCAGCTCAAGGGCTTCTGCAGCTCCTGTCACCTGGGTTTCTGTGCTCACGTCTTTTAAACTTGCTTGCTTTGCCCACAACAGCACTTGCAGGGCATTCTTCTTACCCTGGGTAACTACTGCCAGTGTACCACAGGGAAACGGTGTCCCCAGACCTCTGCACCTCTATCAAACGTAGCTAAAGCTGCTCAGCTGTTTGGTGGTGGTGGTGAGGGGATGGCAGAAACCTCACTTCTTCACAGTGTGGACCAAAACACAGAGACCACTTACAGCAACCAAGGGCAAAGCTTTCACTGCTCATACCAGAGACTGGCTTGCACATGTTGAAAGCCAGACAAACTCACGGACCAAAACCCAATCTGCTCTTAGACATTAGTGGGAGACAGTGAGATGTACCCTACTTTTGTCTCCCTTTCTTTTGGAGGCAATGGACTATGCTTTCCAAAACTCCAAGGCTCCTGACTGAAGGTGGTTACCCCTTGCTGAAGCTGATAGAGCAGACATCTACAAAAGCACACGATACACAAACAAAAACAACGTGTAAAGCTGGTTACATAGACAATGTATCACTGTTTGCTACTTCTTGACCAAATAGTTTATTTTGGGGTGTGTGGGTATGAAATGTAGCTAAATGCAAAGGTCATTAAATGCATAAGGGCTAATATACTGGACTGCTACAAATACAGGTCCTTTGTTAATCCATTGTTACTCTTAATTTATATTTCCGTATTCGCCTAAACTTGAAGATATTAAATTGCCTATACAACATTTCTTTACACATGTACATTTTTGTTCATGGTTTCCAGCACTGTACTGGCCCCAGTGCCACTCTGATCATAAAGGGACTCTGGCTAGAGCCCATTCTCAGCAAGAATTCAGCAGTTCTGGTCTGCACTTAGCTATGAGTCACTGTGTCACCCACGCCTTGAGCAGCCTGTGCCAGCCTGTGTCTGCAACACCACACAGGAGCTGTCAGTTACACAGATAGGCAGGGAAACATAACATTTCAACATGATGTAGCTACTGAAATACAGGTGCCTTTGGAGCCAACACTTCTGACTGTTTACCAAATGCCTTTTGTAGCACTTCTTGGCCACTAAGAAAAAGGGGGTGAAACCTCAAGCGTTCACCAGAAGCTGTGATATTATCTTTCTCCACCTGCAGTTAGACTCTGTTTTCCCAAGGAGCTTTTAACAGATACAGGAACTATATACTACACCAACAAAGCACTCCCTGGTGGGATTGCAGCTCTGCCAGCAAAGATGTGTTTGGTACCAGAGCAGGGCTGCTCTGCCCTGCCTCCCCAGTGGGACAAGTGGCACAGAAGAAACAGTCACCTGGGAACCACCAGACAAAAGGCCCCACGTTGTGCTGCAGAGCTCTGTCACCCCCCAGAGTGCAGCTGTGCCAGGGGATGGTCAGGCCTTGCAAAAAAGGGTCAGACAACAGCACTACACCCTAGATTAGACTAAGGACCAGCTCTGGGAGCTGCAGGTGTCCAGTGCATAGCAGATGCAACTCCATGGCAGGAGCAGGAGAGCAGACAGCTCTCCCTCTGCCTCCTTGCAGTAGTTTAACCCCATAGCCAAAATGGATTTCTTTAGCCCCTAACAAAGCAGCTATCAAGACAACAGGATCCCTTGCTGTGGTACATGCTGTGATTGTAATGGTGATTGTTCATATAAGCCTGATTATATAAAAAAAACCCCAGAAAGCAACCTGGCAGATTAATGGCAAATGCCCCTGCACTTCTGTACACAGTGTCTTAGAAAAGAAACATTTAAAGAGCAGCTTTTGCCCATTAGTGTTGAAATATTACCCAAGTACAGTAAGATACCAGAGAATCTGCAGAAGAGGACCACAGCTTGATTTTTTCCCAGGCCTGGGATCACACTCCAGCTTCTCTCTCCAGACTGACTTGTGCTGCTCATGAATGAAGATCATATCCTAGAAGGGAAGAAGAAGATGGAGCTGGACTACAGCCCTCAACTCTCATGCTTTGGAGTCTCCTATCTTTCAAAGGTAGGGTGAAAAAACAAAATATTCCTCTCCTCCACCCTGGCCCACATTCTGGTCTGGTCAGGGTTCAAAGCAGATGCAACACACAGCTTAGACACCGGCCTGCTTGGCACTGCCAGGATGAGTGTGGACCCCAGCACCCTGGACCCATGGCCACGTTTCCAGCACAGGTGGGGAAAATTATGAAGCTCAGAATAGGATCTCCACATGGAGAGTTCCCTATCTCAGTACAGTGGATATACACCTCATTTTAACTAGTCAGCAGGGAGATGCTGAGACAAAGGCATGTGCTTCAGTAAAGCACTACTAAAGCAGCTCTCAGAGTTGCATGGAAACATCAGTTCACTCTTGGGATTCCCAAGAGAAGCTTTTCCTGAAGACAGCAACATACATACTCCTTTTGATTTCAAAAGGCTTGCCCAGAAATGATCAAGCATCACTCCAAACTCAGTGCTGGGCAAAGAGCCTCCCTTTTCAGTATCTCTGTTGCAAGAACCTGCTGCTTTGCTTTTAGCACAGAGAAGATGGCACAGGAGCTGATGGCAGAGCAGCTGATGTATGTTCCCAACTAGCCTTTCTTGCAAGGACACGCCTATCAGCCTGTACTGCAAGGTGCTTTTCCATTTCCCATCTTAAAATGTTGCCTGTGAGGAGCATGCAGACATTATGAATGAGAATAATGAATTGGTGATTTCATTAGCTAATTTTTTCAGCTCATAAATATCTGTGCCATGGTTTATGGAGAAATAAGCAGGTAGAAAGTTAACACTTTTTCTAGTAATGGATCATTTTAGTAAAATGATTTTGTCACTTAAACAGAGAACTAAAAATTATTTAAATGAAACCAGAACTGTCCTCTTTGCAGGTAAGTCATTCCTAGTTCCGTTATACTAGGGTTCGTAAATGTATCAGTAATCAAAACATCGAGCCTAAGCTCTTTCTGACTGTCCATGTGACACTACTTCAGCAGAAGAAAAAAACTTATCATTTCCCCCAAATGGGACATTACTTAATTTTTTGAGAAAGTTGAAACTTGTCTTAAGCTAGAACTTGCACCTTCTCTGGTGATCCCTGCTGTATGGGTGACTCTACCTTGGTTATGCCCAGCAGCCTTCCCTTACATGCAGTATGTACCACTGCTTGGAAGGAGCTATGGGTGTGCAACATGACTGCCACCATCAGCAGCAATCTAAACATTGAGACATAACCTGCAGTGTCAACAAGCTGTGCCCTTGCACCTGTTGATAAACTCTCTGTGTAAACTAATTTGAGCACTGACTAGATGTCCTTGAAAACATTTTTTCTACAAACTGTCACTTACACACTCCAAGCCCAGACACAGTCACAGTACAATGACAACCAGTTGTGCTGTAGACCAGTGCAGTGATTTTGGAAGGCTTTCATTGTGCACGTTCCTGTACCACAGTCTTGCAAAGCCTTGTTCATCGTGTGAATGGATAACCACATCATTTCAGCTGTCACAATTGCTAAACACGTTTCATGATGATTATGATCCATTCAAGCAGGAGATACCACGAGAACTGCAAGTCACTAACTTTCAAAAGATGTCCACAGTCCTTAAAATGACTGTTTCTCTGACCTGAGATATAACTTACCTCATTAACATATGATCTGCTTAAAAAAAAAGAAAACGAGGAAAAAAAAAGGCTGCTAAGTAGCTCTATTAGCTGCACAATGGCAGTTTCAAGTGTCAAAAGTATGGCAGTTACATAGAACTACAATACCTGCGGGTCTACAATTCCATGTGCTTGAAATATACAGCTTCCAACTAAGGCCTCATAGCCTGATCCAATATTTGCTTATTTGTATACAATCTAGAAAGCTTTTTTCCTAAAAAAATATAATTGGAACAAAGAAGCACAGAGATGGAGTCAAGGCAGCTATTAACCAGGTCCCCTCCATTCTTGTTCACTTGAGTAAAAGTTAAGAGCACTATAAGCTAACAACATTTTTTTGTGCCCATATTCATAGATTACCTTCTTACCTCACCTCAACCTACCGTGAGATCCTGGGAGTTGCATCCAGGAGTGAGCCCAATGCCAGATGTAGGAACGTGGCCTTTGCTTTCTCCCAGTCTTCATTCCTGGTGGGGTGCAGAACACCCTCTGCTGTCGGGGATTTACACACATCAGCCTGCAGTGGTGCAGTGTGCACTGACAGACAGACAACCACTGACACTAAGCTCATGTATTCCCTTTATTGAACTGTACTAGTTATTGCAATCAGATTAAGTCACATTTATAAAGCAGACCATCCAGTTGCACTGAAACCGATTATATTCATTACATAGTTTTAATCACTGTCCGGTGAACTGGCAAATCCAATCAAAGCATTAGTCTTTAATTAAAAAATTAAAAAGAAATATTCAGACAATAGCCAAGCAATCACATCACAATGCACAGTTACCTAAAATTGCAATTAAAAAGCAGTTAACAAAAAAGAAAAAAAAATCACACCTAATCTTTAACTATCAATATAATACAAGAAGCAACAAAGGGCGACAGCATCAAAGCAGATTTATCTAACACTATAAATTCAGTCAGAAGCAGAAGCTCTAAAGTATACTAGCTGAAGCAGGACAATAAAAAATACTGAGCATGGAATACTTTTAATCTCTTCCATTAATATTCATTTCCAGCTGCTTATAATAGCAGCGCCTCATGGCCAAATCATTAGAGTTTTACATCTGGGTTGCAAATGACACTTTGATTGGATGTAATGTTCAAATGGTCCTCCCCACTGTGCCACCGTCAAGTCTTCTGCAGAGAGGTGTCCTGTAGTGCCAGTGGCTCACTGTGCGTGCTGGCTCAATGTGTGGTTCTGGAAAGACGAAGAAAGGAGACATGCATGAGGGGCAGAATAATAGAAAGCATGCCCATACCCTCCTACTCAGTACCATTTATGCAGAGCTCAACATAAAAGCTTCTCAGTTATTACAAAACAAAGTGCAATAAAGAAAAAGTACTCATAAGTAACAGCTGCCAATATGACACATTTGCTTTGTTCTGACAGATCTGTTAATGCTGGCATGAACTTAGAAAAAAAAAATGCTGCAAGCCGAGTACAGCCATGAGGGTTGGGTGGGTTTTTTTTTCCTTTTCAATACATATAAAGAAAGTGGTGATACCTCACAGGCAAGAACTGCCTTAAGGGATTCCCTTAACTGTAACAATTAAAAAAAAGAAAAAGAAAAAATAAAATAATCTGGATCACAGGGGGAGCCCATGCCATATTTTACTCTTTTATTCTCACTAGTACCGGGTGCAAGTACTGGCAGCAAGAGACACCAGATTGTGACACACACTTCTCAGGCCAAGAAATACTTCGACAATAACAGCTGACCCGCCAGTTCAGGCACCAGGGCAATATACCCAGCAGAAAAAAAGGCTGGACATATAACCCAGAAGTTAAATCTCTTTTAAAAAACAGACTTTGCTCTACACATTCCTTTCAGCAGTTTAGAGACTTTTTTGCAACCTTTTATCCTTTCGGTAGATGTGTACATGTCATCACAGTACATCTGCATCAGAGCATGCTGACCTGTCTTGCCATTTTGTGCAGGAGCCAATAAATTTTGAAGCCAACCTTGGAAGCTTATTTCTAGAGCAGTACCAAGTCACCTACATTTTGTGTGCTGACTGAAACCTCACTCCTACATAAAAGCTCAGTTTATCTGTATGATTATTCAACTATTTGAGCAACTAGAGATGTGCTTCCTGCTTCCTTGTGGCCCTGTGCTCTTTCCCCTTTGCCTGTCCCATGTCTGTGCCAGGGCTGTATCACCACTGAGGTGCCATGGGGACATCCCTGCTCATGCCAAGCCCTGCCCTGGCCCAGCCACGCGTGTTCTGCTCCTGCGTGAACCACCCAAGGAAGAGACTCAAAGTTGTGCTGTCTTAAGCCACAGTTTAACATAATTAGACATCCTGGCTTGAGGGCAGTAATTGGAGCTGGCTGCCCAGCATCCCCAAATATAAAGATCATTTCAAGCCTAGACAATTTAACTAGTCTCCCTCTGCCTAATAACAGAGCTAGGCAAGGCCACCACCTTGAAGAATAAGTTTTTAAACATGCAATGAATTTTGAATCTAATTATTTGTTTACAATGGTGAAGCTTTGAAATAAAGTGAGATTTGTTAACTTTTCATAAATCATCTGGCCCTTCTACACCACTCAGTTTCATCTTGGTCAGGAAAAGGCTGATCCTCTGCCTTTTCCAGAGATGACGTCTCCCTAATGAAAACCATCTGTGGAAAGAGCTAATGGGCGGCCCGCGATGCAGGGGGCCAGGCAGGCAGGCAGCAGTGACCCCATTTGCAGGCAGGAGAATTTCTGGACTTTGCACTCCCAAAAACTGACCACCAGGTGTCAGAAGTGCTGCTGAGTTCCTAAATGATGGCAAAAGTTACTGCGATATTATTGTGTCTGGCAGGCTGTGAGGAAACTCCGCACAATAATGGCCAGGCCTGAACGCCTCGGAAGGTTTCAGAGGCAGCAGAAGCATCAGAGCTGCCACACACCCAAAAGGAGCCCTTGTGAAATTAAATACAGTCCTGACACCATCGCAGAATAACCGGTCCTCATTTAGCATAACACAAGCCCTCTGAACACAGCCCAGTCTGTGATACTGAATGTTTCAGAATCAAAAACCCGAGATACTGTGCAAAGGATCTGAAAGCTGATCAGGGAATAAAGCATTATGCTCACATAATGCCAAGTGACTCGACAGCTGAAACTACTTTGCTTTTAAACAATTTAACATAAACAAACAAAATCCATTGGCTTTCTGTTTTGTTATACATATAGTTTCCCCCGGCCTTAAGCAGG